CAACTAGATTAGAACTGTGTTAGCTTCGGCTAAATCTCTTTAGTTAGTCATTAATTAGCTCTTATTTCTTACATTTTAAGTTAAGCCCAAGTGAAGGCTTTGTTGTACACCTTGAGAAAGGGGCTGATTGCATATCTTTATTTGGAGCAAATAAAGGGTAATTAACCCCTCTTGACTTTACATTGTAGTGAGTGTTGTGGATCCAAGGCGTTCTTGTGAATATAACATAATTGTATTAATTCTTATTGTATTAATCCAGAACTTTCAGAAGACATAGTACACAGCAAAAATCTATCTTTATTTCAAGACTTCGAATATGCGTGTTTTTCCTTCTCGAACAGCAGGTCTCTCTCTCTCTTTTCTCTGTGGCGCTTTTACCTTGGGTTGTCGTATTTTTTCAGCACACACTCGGGGGCGCAAGGCGTGCTCCTTATGACCACCGAAATGTTTCTATTCTTGGACTTGCATGATTATTCGCTTAGCTGTTCACTATGTTCCTCAACACTTACATTAGTAGAATAAAAGGGAGGAACACTACAAGATATTGTGAAGATTTTATTATGTATTCTTACTGGAATGTAGGTTTCTTTAAAAAAAAATAATATTGTGATAGTTACCTGCAGTTTATAGATGACTACTTTTCAATTGTTATGTTTTTACTATAATCGTGTGCTTTGGAAATTAAGATATTCACATAATTGTCCCCTATCGATTTTCAAACAATTAAAGTCAGTAAAAAGTGGGGAGGTAATACATGAGGAAATGTGGTAGTTCTAATTTCGCAAAAACTATTAGTTCACCATTATTTTTAAATTAAAATTTTAAATATACCTATTACATTTTTTTTTAAAAAGTAAAAGTCAATTTTTTAAAATTGCATTGTTAAAAGAAGTCGATAAAAGGGGTGGGAAGCGATGCTGTCACAGTTAAACTGAATAATAAAAAACAGTGCCCGGTTTCTAGATTTTTTGTACCATGATTGTTTTTAATTTGAAGTCAAATTTGAAATTGTCACCAGACATTTTTAATGCTTAACTTTCTCTTGCATTGAAAGTTTTAAATAAAGAAGGTCAAAAAAATTTGCTTAAAACATTTTAAGATAACATCCAGGTTTATATACGTTATAATTTACATATTTCTTTGAAAAAGCTTTAAAAATGGTATAAAATTCCAATTACAAAAAAATCTTTTTTACCGCTTTTTTTTTTTTTTGGATTAAACGAAAATTACAGATTGCAGAAAGAGAAAGCAGGCAAAATTTAATTAAAAAGACATTTCTATCAAACATAAATTAGCATTACAAAACAAAATTTGAAAGCTGATTAAAAAAAAAAAAACTGTATAGTCATTAGGTTAATTGGAAGCAGAAAAGATGAAAAATATGCGACCGCCTTTGCCGGGAATTGAACCACGGACCTCTGGAAGACCGGCCCAGCGTGCTAACGTTACACCACGAAGGCATGCTAGGGAAGTGAGAGAAATACCTTATAAAACTACTTGTGAGACTTTTACAGAACTTGACGCTTTAGCATAATTGAGCGGTAAAATCGAAATATAGAAAAAATCATTGGCCTGTAATTTAAGTCCAAATTTGTGTCGGAGTTGTAGATATGGGAGTTGTATATACAGAACCATCTTTTTTTAACACTGTAACTCAGGTCTATTCTTTTGCTTGTGTTAGCAAAACAATTTGTGTATCTTTAATGTAAATATAAAATGTTTATAAATATCATTGGATTTTACAATTTTATGCAAATTTTCATATCAAACACATGAACTAAGAAGTTCAAAATTTTTGCCATTGATTATTTCATTACTTTATTTAAGTACTGATTAACAATTATACACAACATTGAATACACATGTTATCCACCATTCATTGATATGAAATTTTATGTCATACAGCATGTCCTTTAAGAAAACCTAGGATATGCTCTCCCCCACTACCATATCGGTTAAGCACAGAGTTTCACGGCATTAGATACATAGTATATAAATTTTCCTTTTTTCAAAAGGATCTTAAATTGGAGCTTAGAACCGAACCTTTGAGGAGTCTGACTGACCTGATCTCTCATTCTTTAAAATATGCTCTAATTTTAAGAAATTCATTTTTTCTTTTGTATATTGCCTGTTTCAAAATACCACGTTTGTATGTTGCTTGCATTTTGCCTGCAAATACTGTTTGAAAACCATTTCTTTACAATGTAAGAGATACTGAAATTTTGCACTCTCTCTATCATAATAAGCAATATTAAGGGTATGTTTATACACTAGCTTAAAAAGTATACTACAAAATGGGAAATTATGATTTTAAAAGGAAATCCTAATATAAGAACACTTATATTCAGAGAAATGTTAAAAGTGGCATTGAATACGTGATATAAATAAAAAGTTCCAATCATTACAATTTTCTGCAGTTTCTTCAAAAACTATTTCTCATTCTTTGCACTTGGAAAGCCTTAAACAAAAGTCCCATTATAGGCATATAGGTCTAGCTGGACATTTTTTTAATCGTAATTTGTTTGTATTCATTCATGTACTGAAACTGCGTTAGTTCTTTTTGAAACAAAGCATTGGTATGCCAGATAAAAATCTTTACAAAACACATATAGCAATCGTTAATGGCACAAACAAACAATTGTAAAACAAAATTTAAACCCTGAATGTAACAATAAATGAAGTGGCTTGTGGACACGTTTTCCATACTTGTTTTTACAGGTATTTCCTCTGCACAAATTGCTACTCGATCACACATAATTCTAACCAATTTTCATTCTAAAATTCCCTTAAGTCTTTTGTAATTTTGACAATATATTTGCACAGTGCTTCAGCTCAGCAATTTGCATTAAGGCCATAAAAAGGTATGGCTATTCCTTGGCACTTACGTTCACTTTGCATATTTGACAGGAATACACAACCATGATTAATTGATTAAATCTGTAATTTCATCTATAAAACTAGAAACAAGTAAAGAAATTGCTTTTTCTTTCTTCACAGCATCCATAAGATTTTTTTTACATGAAATTCAAGAGACCATTTTGAATAGTAGGCAGTGTGTAACAGAATGTTGCTCTTTTAGGAAATCTAGTATATTTTCTAAGCAATATTTTTTTAGCAATATCACATTTTTCTCTGTATTTATACTAGAATCAATTTGCTCATTACTATGGTTTCTGAATAGCAGTTCTTGTTTTCTTGTTTTTTCATTTCATGATTAACATAAAATCTATTCTAGATGAAGAAAGCTTTAATGCAGCAAATATACACTCATGTACAAAATTAAGATAACTTGCACATTATGTCAAATTTCTGAAAGTCTAATGGACAGATTTTAATTATATTTGGTATGAATACATACTTATAACACAGAAAAAGATGTACCATTCAAAAGTCATTTTAGGTATGCAAGATTATTAGTAATGCTCATAGTACAGATGTGTCGAAAATCCACATTCTGATATCAAACCGAAAATGAGTCTAATATAGGGTATGGTTCCCTGTCACAGACAGACAGGTTATGCAGCCATATGGCATCCCGGACAGGAGACAGTTGAGGAGCTCCTGTGGCAGCCAATCCCACTCTGCAGCAAAGCAGTTTACAGTTCAGGGATGGTTCTTGGAAGAGGATGGCATGATGAAATTACCCTTCCCAGTGTGTCCCATACATGCTCTATAGGATTTAAGGTCAAGAGATTTGACTGGCCAACGCATTCGGCGAATATCCTTACTTTCCAAGTAATCATCAACCAGCTGAACCCTACGTGAACGAGGGCTGTTGTTCATTAACAGGAACCCAGGACCAACTGGGCCCCTGAGAAGTCAAAGAACTCTAAAATCTCCTCTTTATCCACTGACAATCCACTGACAATTCTCAATCTCATTCCATCTTCATTTACTTTACACTTTATAAAATTTACCCAACTCTTGCGAGAAACACGGAGAATGTCAAAAAGGAGTATGAGCACTAAAAATGCCTAAAACCCCACATGCGTATATATCCCCTCTTACAGTCACAGCTCTGCATACATGCACATGTACACTTACGAACTGACTCTGAAAATCTGCATAACTCTTTGGTGGCATAATTAGTATCTATGGTTCAATACTTTTTATAAAAATAGATATAAATTGCAAATTTTCTTAATTTTGTATATGAGTATATAAACCTCCAAACTTAAACCTCAAAAGGCCCATATAGCTACCCCAATTAGTCTCTGCAAACCAAGCTTAAATGCACAGCAATCTTGCCTACTTGCCTCTTGAGGAATCCACTTTAAGACACAGTTTCATAATATTTTTTTTAAAAAAATCCTCCTTTTCCTTACAGAACAAAACTTGCTTTCCAATGAAATACAGATAATTGCTTAAATTCCAAAATAATATGTTTGCTTCATGTGGTAAATTTCACCTTTGTCAATTATACAGGGCCTTTGTAACATTTGACTAAAGGTAGAATGTAATTCAGAAAGTATGGGGAGTTGAACACAGTGTTTCTTCACGGCCTTCATGTTAGTTTTTTTTTTTTTTTTTTTTTTTTTTTTGACAGAAAAACATGATGAGGAGAATTTAGGATATCATGCAACAAGATCCTAATCCCAAGCCTCAAAGCCAAAGTTTCTAAACTGTGACTGACTAAAAGATGAATATATTTCTTGTAAAATTTAACACAGAAACTTCTTTTTAATAGCTATGCAGCCTTTGTTTATGAAAAACATTGAGAACATTCTAGAACCAAAATATCTATGCATACTTTGAAGCCGATGCTCCAAATCATAAAAAACTCAAACTAAAGTTTATGGTACACAATTATGTATCTTTAATATTTCATTTTTATGTTCAAATTGCAACCTAAACACATTTCATAATTAGCAAGTTAGAAGAAAGTTCAGTTACATAGTGACTCATTAAAATTCTATAACAAATAGTAAAATTAAAGTAATTTCATGAGAAATTAAACTGAGACAACTTTTTCAGAGATGGTTTTACTGATGAAAAATTACCTCTTTGTCATTGTAATCTAAGGCTTCTAGAGCAAACTTTACTTCTTTAAATATAACATATACTTCATCACCAATAATTCTGCAATAAAGATGAAAAGTTTACATTTCTGAAGAAACGGGTACTTTAAACAGACTCTTTCATAAACTAATTAATATAAAATTCTTGTGAACTATAGCAATATAAAAATGCATACCTCATATGTGAAACCTTTTCCTTAAATATTTCATGCAGAAGTTTATATTTAAAGTCTTCTTTTAAAAATACTTCAGGTTTTACACTTTTGGTTTCAAAACTAACAATAATAGTGCCATCAGGCGGACCAGATTCAATAAGTTCTTCAAATATTTCCAATCTCTTTGGGCCATTGATATGCAGAACTTCAACATCAATTAATGCAATAACAGGCCTAAAAGAATTTTAAAAATTTTAGAATATACAATCTATTTCTATACTGAAACTTGTGTTGTAAATTTAAAATGCACACACAAACACACACACACACACACACACACACACACACACACACAAAAAAAAAAAAGTATTAACAGCAAATCATTGTATTATGTAAAAACATTCCTGCTGAATTATTTTTATTGCTGGTATCTGAAAGCAGAAAGATCTATAAAGTTTAATCTAGGGCAATCTATAAAATTTGTATTTCAATGAATTCATAAAGTATATACAAAAATGCATAAAATTATTGGAAAGGATATTTAAAACAATTTCAATACCTAAGCTGCTTAGTTACAATTATATCTATCAAAAGTTTCTAAGAATACCTATGAATCCTGAATATAAGGGTCTGCTTTTGAACTGTCATTACCACATTATTCTTTAGTCTGATCACAAATGAGCATTTGCTCATAATAGACACCTGATTTGAGGATATTTATGAAGAATATAGCATCCTTTCATATCAATCCTTCTATCAAACAAATCCTACTCTCTTTTCGTCAGAATCAAAAGATAAGCCATAACTTTCAGTCTGAATGACCATCCAGTTCCCCAGAGCTAAAACCTTGCAATTTTTTTAATATAGACAGAATTCAAGTCATAGGTTTTGTTATTAATACATCTTAACTTGTTGGCATGACAGTGCTCAATAATAATGGTTGTTACATTCAGCATTAATTCTGAAGTTATTTCATGTTCTTTTATCAATGATGATATTCTCTTGTTGATTTTTTAACCGTTAAGGTACTCATTAAGTCCTACATCAATGTACACTGCCTGACATAGAAAATATAACATCATGAAAGACTGGGTAGAATGTGATGTAAGCTGAGCCATAGACAAAGCATGCATGTGTAAATAAGAGATGTTATTTACAGAAAGATAAATTTATACAATGCTAAAATATACAGGGAATCAGTAAAATGTATTACCACATCTCGCAGTGATACAAGCTGCAACCCTACAAGATACAGGTTCTAATAATATGCTGAGGGATGGAACACCATATGCTCTGAATCCTCTTCCAAAGTTCCTCCTCTGATAATAGCTGGGGCAGAGCAGACACGCGACAACCAGTCACATTCCGGGTATGCTCGAACGACGAAAGATCAAAGGACATCACAGCAAAGGCTTGTCAGCTAACTCACGATGTGTGCAATATCACTTTCTCCTGCTGAAAAATACCATTTATGCAGCCGCTGAAGGTAAGGTAGCACAACCGACTGCAGAACCTTATCAACATATCTTTGTGCCGTGAATGTGAGTCTAATGAATAAGGCTGATGCTATTTGCAAAAGCGGTGCGATTAGCCGCTTGAAGTTATTTGCACCAACATTGCCCACACATGCGCATTGAGTTGTCTGATCCGTCTTTTGAAACCAACTGAAAAGAACAGATTCTACATACGCAAACTGCCCGAGTGTTGTAGTGAATCTTTTTTTTAACCGCGGGTTACTGCCTTGGCGTAGTTTATCATTTTTTACGCGTTGGCGACTTTCAAAAGATTAGAAAGGAAAATAGTTTCCTTTTCTTATATATATAAAAAGAAGGAACACATTTCCTTTTATTAAAGTATATATAAAAAGGGCATATTTTTATGTTCACAATGTTTATCATTTTCCTGAACGGTTGGAATAGTTTAAATGACTGATTGGGGGGGGGGACAAAATCTTGTTTACATTTTTTGCACTTCTTAGAATACATGCAGCTTAAAAGATGTGTTTTGCACAATCAAGACTTTAAATTCATTCCCCTATGAAAATTTTTGTCTGAGAAAAGATAATAAAAATTAGACAGAGGATTTCTGTGTAGAAAATTTAGACATGAAATAAGTTAAATGCGATTAAATCAACTATTAAATGAACAAATAATCATATAATACTGGTTATTAACAATTTTGTATGCCTGTTTATTTTTTTATGGAAGTACTTGGCATTTTCAAGGCACAAAAAGTATTTCAAAGAACTTTGAAATATTAGTACAAACACATTAATAACTTAAATTTAAATAAATAATGGCATGTAATTTAAAAGACAGAAATAATTTAATGTAAGAAATTTAGATTTAAAAATTTGTGCACAGAAATGATTTATCACATTTTATAAGGTTTTATTTCATAAATAACTTTGTTTTGAAATATGACATTTGAACCTATAAACTCGTTTGCAATTAGAACCATCATTAAATCCCTATTTTATCTAATTATTTCCTGAGCATTATCATGTATATAGATTGGTCTCGTCTTTGTAATTGATAATTATTACTTGCAAATTATTCTCTTGCTGGTCAACTATTAACAACCCTTTCTATTGTTGAATTAGGGTTAACAACTTTCACTCTCTCTATCATCAGACAAATAAAACCGAGACTTATATAGCTGAATACCACACTGTACCATTCAAATGTCCAAGTAGCTTGCTGCTGACACCACTGAAGTCTTTCACATCGACGTTTTACCTTTAATGGTAGTCTTCACAAAGGGGGGCTTGTGTGCATGCTGCTTGTGTGCATAGTTTGGGTGCCACTGTAGAGACATTATGTATTTTTGGAAGCAGGCAAGATAAAAAATTAGCAATGCTTTCGCCGGGAATCAAATCGCGGACCTCTCAATTATGCGCTGAGTGTGCAGACCACCACACCAAGGAGGCATGCCAAGAAGGCGAGAGAAATACCTTATACAGTAGGTATTAAGAGAACAATTTAAAAGCTTTTGTATGTAAAAGATTATTAATTTGAATTTATCTTATGTGAAATGAAAGGTTAGTTTCTGGAATTTTTGTTAATGAACACAGAGACAATCATGATGAATCTGCTCTTACTTTATCCACAACTTTATTTTAGATAAAGGATAGTTTAATAAAGTTTATCTGTTACATTAAAATGAGCACTTTAGGTAGTTTGATTAACAGAGTTCACATGCTGTTGGGACTTGAGTGGAATCCCACAAAAGACATGGACATTTCTGTCTGTAGTCTCTTTATGGATTAGGGGCATTTGGTATCAGTCAATTCAAAAGTACTCAGGATGACAGTTGATGATAGAGAAAAAGGGGTATGAGACATTCAGATTTAGTTTTATAGTATGCTCAGGGAAAACTGGGAAGGAGCTTAGGCAGATAGCCTATGCAAGCTTTGTTTAAAGTAAATAATGTCATAAAGAGTTGATGTATTAGAATTTTCCTAATTAAAAGAATAAGGGATTCTTTGTAAAGCATCTGGCATTAAAAACTTTCCAACCAGTGCCAAGTACAAATTGATAAATGCTGGCACAGATGAGGGGGAAAACTCTAGAATATTTAAGGATGTGATAACATTATTTGAAACTTGTGTTTTACAATAAAATAATCCCAATGTACATGAGTATAGAAAAAACTTAAAAACTGGCTACAAGCAACATGATGAATTATCATTTAGTCAAATTAAAGTCATAAACACAAAGTAAATTTAAAATCAATAAAAATAACAACTTTCAAGACTTTGATAAGGAAAAAAGTGTTAATTTTCAACTAGGCAAATATTCAGTATGAAGAACAAAAGAGCATACCTATGGTCTGAAGTTTTCAATTCAGCTCGTCCATAATACACTATATTCCCAGGATATTCACTTTCTCCTACAAAATAAATATACAGTTTGTTCTGTTTCATGTTTAGAAATAAAAGGGCTAAACTATTATTGGAACTATAAAAGTACTACCAAATAAATATGTCTGCAATTCCTCTAATTTTAAAAATGCCTGGGTCACTTACCATCTACAAAGCTACGTCTCTTGTAAAGCACTCTGTCAGTATATGATGGAATTCGATTCTTTTCACTGGTATCATAATCATCAGAAAATACATCATATTTGTAAGTTGGAGGAAAATTTATTGGGGCTTCAATGAAATCATGGAATACCTATAACAGAGAATCAAAAGTGCTTATGACCAAAAATTTCCCTCTCTCCTCATGCGCAGGATTCCTTCAAGAATATTATTCTTTAGAATTCAGTTTCTGTGTTAAATCCTGCCGAATGACACCGCCAGAGAGATTTTTACAATGATTAAACATATTGAAAGATATATATATATATTACTTAAAACTAAATAAACACTAAACACTAACTTTACTTAAACTAAATAAATAACATTAAAACTAAATGTTTGGAAAGAAAATTAAAAAAAAAAAATATTATGAATGAAAGATAAAATCCTGAATATAAAGTTAGAGCTTGTAGAAGGTGCTCATTAAAAAATGAAAACTATCTTTCAGTTTACACATACTAGCTTAAACATTTTACTACCATCCTCCAATAAACCTGCTTCAAAGAAATTTATTAAGACTATGAATTTCAAGACAAAAATAATTCTTGATTTTTTATTTTTTAAGCAGTGTTTACTTACTACATTAATTACAATTAAAAGTGCACACACATGTTCACATTTATTACATTCATTAGCATTTTCGTCATGTTTTGTCTGTATTTCTTTCAGGAAATTTTACCTAGTTCAACCTCTTAAAATTTTTTTAAGTACTACCAAATAAATATGACTGTTATTTATCTAATTCAAAAATAATTCATAAGCTTAAAACGTAATTTTTTTATATACAAGGTCACAGGAAAATTTCTGTAATTTTTAACATGTTTGTTAAAATCATTTGGACCTAGGTCCCATTTATAAGATAGTATCCAGATTTCATGAGCCTAAAGCCCATTTTTACAGTCTTCAAAATACCCCTGGGCCACTAAAACTATATAAATAGTAAAGAAAAAGATTCAAAAGTTCACGTCATTTCTTTTTTTCTTTAAGTTTTATTACTTGTTTGCCTTTTGTTCTAATAAAGTAAAACAGGAACAAAACTTTCAGACAAAACCTCCTCCAATTTATATGATAACGTTCATGAAAGCAATTAAACTATGAAGGTATTATGGGTAATAAACATTTTATTTATGCTTACTTTTTTCTTATAAATGTAGCTACTTCACATTCCAAATAAGTTTAGTTAGCAGAAATTTATATTCAAATGTTGCTATCCAGTACTTAACATGATGAGTAAATCAGAATTTCCCCTCTTTTACTCTGGATATTAGCACAAATTTTCAGGATTCTCCTTCCCATTCTTGTTTAGATGGGCAAAAATAGGTTATTGGTAATTACCACTAAGAATGTAAAGATGATTACAGATTTCTTCAAATTGCTATACATTACCATAACAACATGAATACTGGAATTAATCTGAAGATTCATCATTTTATTTACGTCAGAATGTCTTTGCAAAATAAATAATACATTTATTTTCGGGGCCACATACCCTCAGAAGGGGGGAAAAAATATGAACAATTATTTAAGATGAAAAACCTTGTTACAGAAAAGTTTATGAAAGCATTACAAAGTAGAAAAATTAATGGAAAATTACGAAAAGTGCAATACGATTTCATGTATCGAATGCTTTTTTAAAATTTCTTATAAACCTGTTAATATTTCTATTATATTACTTATACAGTGTTTCAGCATTGCAACCGGGAGAGTGGTTAGTAATGCTGACTGCTGCGCCAAAGAGCCCGGTTCCAAATCCTGGAGAAGGCATGGATGTTTGGAAATGTATAGTATCCATGTGGCATGGGAGCACTTTAAATATGCAGCAAGTCCTCTCAAGAGGTTGGGGGTATGGGAAGAGGCATGGGAGACCCTCAGACCCATTTCCCTGGGATGCTCTCCATCAAAATTGGGGGCAAAACTAGGCATATTCATACTGTCACCTATGGTGCTCAAGCCTCTTTCCAATGACAAGATATGGTGCTCAAAGCTCTTGCCAATGACAGGTGCCATCTTGCACTCCATGCTACAATGAATTTTGTGGGCTTGTTCTAATGTAATTTTTTATACTTTATTCCATATTAGGCTTTTCTTTCATATATCTTTCAAGTATTACCTCATTATTACACATGAAAAATATAATGTGTTAATATTTGGCATCCCAGATACAGGACAGTATTTTTAGAACTATTAACAGTTTTTACAAAATTTGAATATATTAGGAATATACTATTTATAGATAACATAGGTCATATACATGGATTCTGATTAATTGTCTGAAAAATAAATACTTTGGATTTTAATTGGTTAATCAAATTATCACACCATGATGTGGGTATCATGGATGATCTTGAATATGCAAATTAGTTTCTAATAAAAACAAAGGATAATGCACAACAGTATTTAAGTTACAATTTCATACGCTCAGGTCTAATTTCATAATTTTAAAACTATATCTTGAAAAACATCTAGTAGCAGATACACTACTCTGATGGACTATGGTGTACACTGGGCACAGCTTTCGACTGCTTCCTACCTTATGTATATGAATATACACATAGCTAGCACAATTAAACATTCCCAGTTCTGAAGGCTCTGCAGAGCATTCAGCCATGAGAGTTAAACATACGAGTTAAATATTTTTCTCTTCTTTTGGCTCCCTATATGTCACATTCAATAAAATACATAAAATTAAGTTTTTCCTTCCCCCTTTCACTGTTTGTACCCCCACTCCATACTCATGCAATCCAACTGTTATTAGCCAATGTAAACTTAATCTATACTACTTAAACACTTCTCACACATTGTAAGATAATTACAACAATGAAACATTATCAGACCGATATGCTAAAAGGACAAACAGATGCCATTTTTTAAATTGGTATTCCAAATATATCCAAAAATAAATAATCTCTAAGCTCAAAATAAAACAAAAACAAAATAATAGTAACAATAAAAAATCTGAAAAATAAATAAAACAAAACAAAATAATAGTAATAGTAAAAAAAGATAAAGTAACAATAAAAAAAAACTGAAAGCTTTCAGGTTTTACATTATGCCCAAACAGACTTTCTTGTGTGTTACCTTTATTTATTAAATATGCTCTTTGCACTTAAACCATAAAATTCAGTTAAACAGCAGTATCACAAAATAATTTTAAAATGAGCATATCTTTAGAATTTCCGATACACAGTCTCTTGAACTGAAGATAAAAAGTTTTTCTTTTCTTTCTTTCTTTTTTTTTTTTTTTTTTCTTTTTTTCTTTTCATACAGTGCTGCCATTGCTCGCTTTGAAATCATCAAGTTTGTTAATCAAAAATTCATTAAAATGTTGCAAAATATAAAATCGATAATAAAACAAATTTCAAATTCCAAATTAGGGCTTTCAGATGCCCATATTCGATGGAAGATTATATTACTCAAAATTTGATGGCTGTAGGTACCATTGTTCTATCACAATACGAGAAACATACACACATTCTTGTAGATTCTTCATTATTTAATATCTTTTAATATAACACAGGGTGATAATATTTGGTAGCAACATTCTGAGAAGTGATATGCCATTTTTAGTGATTCAACACAAAATGCCAAAACATAATAGTCCTTTTGAGCAAATTGCCCCTTTGGACTAAAAATTATTATTTTTGTTTGCTAGTACAATTTTTAGAGTTTATAGACAAGAAGAGTTTTTTAATAAACAATATAAATAATGAAACACAAATAACATTTCTAACGAGAGATTTTTATTTCTTACCTGACCAGCTTGTCGTTGGTTGATAAGCTGATCTGCCGCAAGAAGTGCAGGCCAGTTTTTTTCCTTCACAAGCTTTCTTACAGTTTCAGCTTGTAAATCAATCCTATAGTTGAAGTCTCCACACCAAAATACATACTCGTGAGAATCAAGGGTACGTCCCTTTAATAAAGATTTACATAATTTAAATTTTGAATATACTGTATATGTAAGGTGCACCATAATAAGAATTATATTGTTTGAGGGTTAACAGATGGCATCATTTGATATGTAAGGAAGATAAGAGTTTTAACGAAAAACAGCTTTACAGTGGAAATAGTAAAGTGGAAATTTGGGTCATGTCACTTCCAACTATATTACTTGTCTTAATGAGAAGCAATCACACAGCACAGCGCAGAAATTACAAGTTAATATTGTCTAACTCTCCTCTCTGTCATTTCAAAGTGCACATGGAAAAAAAGAATATTAGGAAAGGAAAATTAGATTAATTCACAGAAATTTACATGAAAGTTGCATTAAGCAAATACATTAGTAATTAAGTTAAAAAATTGTTGTTATTATTATTGATTAATGGTGTATAATCACTTAATACTGCACAAGCTACCTGAAGTACTGACCAACAGTTGTGATACAAATAACAGATGATAAAATGGAGTCCTATCAGGTATTGCTAACCCTCTACAAAAAATTCCTGGAATACTTAGGATAGTATAACTTGCCAGTAGTTTTTCACAACAAGTTCGTTCTAACCTCAAAGATAATCATTTTGGAACTTGTCTACATCAACACATTCCAGAACAGTAACCTTATCTTCTGTATACTTGTGTTACAGAAGGGCACTTGCTTAACTCCTTACCTTGATAAGTCAAATGAACTGGATCATTTCTTACCAATCAGATGATATCCAGGTACAAAACACAGTGTGAATTGGCTGTTACCTATTGAAGAAGTTCAATAGATGCTCTGCCACTGCGAAAAGAGAATGCAGATCTGAAAGTTTAGGATAGGAGTATTTTGTTTAGTGTTTGTTATTGAAGAACGCTCTTTTTGATACAGGATTTAAAGGCTTACACCAGCAAAATAAGATAGTCCATGTTGATCCTTGAACTTTATCACTTTGCAGTGAAATGTGATTTAGCTCTAAAAAGCATTTTTTTTTTTAACTTTTCTACTGGCTTCTTCTCCCCACCCAAAGAAAAACTGTTTTGCGCAAAACGCACGCCTGTACTTTTAAGATTATGTATAGTCTAGTTTCTACAGTCAATGCAAAACATTTTGTCAAGTGGATATAATAATATTGTAAAATGTTTGAGGGGTCTCAGTAGCAAACTATATTCAGAAACACTGTAAATAATTTTCGTATCACAATAATTCCATCTAGTACTCCTATTAAACTGCAACATCTATTACATTGTAACATGGATTATGAGATACCTTTTATAGCAATAACATTTAAGAATACTTAAAAAAATTAATATACTACAGATAGAACAACATCAGGAAAGCAAGGGTTTCTAAGAGGTGTCCATTCAGATTATTTAAAAAACAGAAAAAGTGCCATATTTTCTAGGAAAAATATGACATTAAAATAATAAAATTATATTAATAATGAATAAATATACCTTATTATTTACCTTTTAAATATTCTACATATATATAATATATATAATCAATCATCTTAATTTTGAATCAAAGCTATTAATGAATCCCTAGAAAGGGATGAAAAGTAATTTTGTTTTATAAACAAACTCATATGAATTAACAATCAAACTATATAATTAATTCCTTTACAGAACCATTCACATTTAATTTCAGAGGACTGCAAACAACTTTCTATATTACTAGAACCAATAATTTCTAAAATATATGGTCACCTGGTAGCAGAGCCAGGAATTTCCAAATGACATGCGTGCTATGACCAGAAAGTGCTCTTCTGTAGCACGGCAAATGCGACACATGGTTAATTAAGGTTTAACGCAGTAATATAATGATTCTTGAATGAGGTGGTAACTCACAAGTCTCAAAATGCCATACCGGAGATAGAAATCCATTACATTTTGTCAAAAATTCTGATCTACTGTAGTTGAAACTCTACAGATGGTCCACTTGATTATAGAAATGCAGCTGTAAATTGTGACACTGACTGCAGGTCGCACCAGTTGTTCCCTGCTAACAGGGAATCCATTGACATCTGTGTACATCGAGGTTGGTTTAAAAATGATCATCTGACCATGAAAAAATATTTGGGAAATGCAAGAGACCGAACTTGAAAACATTCCCATACAACTACCAAACCCCTAATGAAAGAACGAATTAGCCACGGTAGCTGTCGCCCCATTCAGACAAAAAAACTGCATCACATAAGTCGCCAAGAAAATTATTCCTCTGCTATAAATAAAAGACCAGTGGAGAAAGGCAAATGGACAATGATAAAATACTTCCATGCCAAACTACAACTAGTGACCACTGATGTTTCTGCAAACATGTAATTCTTTCCAGATAGAGTGAAAATCAACAGAGAACGGTATGTTGCTGTTCTGCGTAGTCTACGTGAGTCCATCTTTTAGAAATGTGTTCATTTGCTAAGAAACAAGAATAGATTCCCCTTCAAAAGCAATGCTCCTTCACATCAATCTAAACTGAGTTTGCAAAATATGAAATGATAGCCCCGCTTCCCAGATCTCACCTCCAGCAATCATTTTCTATTCAATCCAAGAAATTCATTTCCAGTCGTCAAAGAAAGCAATAGTCAGAGCGAAAGAAGTTCTGCAGTTCTTTCCCAATCTATGAATTCTAGTTCTATTGGCATTGACAGCACTACATTATGGGTCAAAATCCATAATGTATCTTCAAAAGATTTTTTTTTTTTTTGTTGCATAATAGGAGCTCACTACCTGATGTGCGCTCAGAAACATCCAGTTTGAGAAATTATGGCATTAATTAAGCTGATTGAAAAGTGATTCCTTTATTCAGAATCAAATGATTCCACAGAAACTAACCCTTCCCCTGGTTTGTTTTAAAGTAGAGTTCTTTGTACTGAATTGCACATTTTACAGAGTTTATTGAAAGATTTAAAAAAATGAAATATACTATTTCATGACATCCCTCTTAACAAAGTTGCTGCGGTGATTTTGCAGTTGGTAATCTAAAACATTCTCTTTCTGCGCAACTGTTTTTGAGTATTAAGAATACTCAGAGATCACCTGGGGCTAAAAAAAAGACTATGGATCATATTTAATGCTGTCTATCATAGCCAACCAGTGCCATGGCAGGACATGCTGTCATTGTTTCTTGAGCAAACCCGGGTATTTCTTTTTTTTCCCACTCTACGCAAATATTTCAATGAAGCAAGTCAAAAGGTCACAGGCATTAATCATCAAAACCAAGAATTTACCACTTTCTGTGCTAGATTGAAATGACTTTCAGATGACATATCAATGACTGGCAGCAGCCTCGTGGGTTGTTTGATTGACGTATATGATTTTCAGCACCATAAATGCAGTCTCATGGCAGTAATGCAAATTACAAGCATTCATTAAATGTCTGAACACCTTCTTTCAGCATTTGTCATTTCATCTTTTTTTTTTTTTTTTTTTTTGTTAGCGTTCTTGTGACCGTGTTTTTCGAGCCACAGGTACCACTGCAGCACTATTTATTACGCTTCACTGTGCCGATTACATACAGATGAAAACCGTGGATTTTTTTCCAATTTTGCTTGCTGTAATCATAATCATGAAAGTTTGATTACTGTCATTCACATTATTCCCTAGAGGATAGTCTGCAGTTGTTGAACCATGGATGCACTAAGGGCTCCTATATTAGTAGTTCTTTAATGGTCACCCAGTACATGCCATAAGATTTGAAGAGTTTCATTGCTCTTTTTCCAAGTTTGATGAAAATTCAGACACACTTCAGCCCTATTTTCAGAGAGATGTCTTCCTTGCCAGCCATGACAAAATGTACAAAGTGCTTCTATTCATCATGGCTACATACTGAAAGTCATGCTGTTCCACTGCAAATTCAGAAATTTTGATGTTTTGGTTTATTTGATTACATTAAAGCACACTAGAGCTATCTTCCTAAGAGGAGGGATTTCTTCATGGAAGGCTTCATAAGGGCAACGGACTCTTATACATGTTACACATAGGGAATGCCATGAAAACACCCACTGCTCAGCGACTTTACTGCTCGGTTGGCCGACACGTGGATGTATTGAACCTACACCAAGTATAATATCACCAGTACAGAGCTATCATGCCTGATATCAAACAGTGATATAGAAGCAATCTTAAAAGCTTCCAGTCCACCTTACAAATCTTATGCTGTGACCAACATTGTGTGCAGGATTTTTTCACACACAGAGGCTGCAATAACTTCTGCCACAAGTTTGACTTGGTTTTGATGTTCTTGAATTTCATTACATAAGCACAAAAAATAAGTTCGCCTCTTTTCGGAAGTATTAAAAAAGGAAATGAAGTAAAAGAGAAAATCTTTCCTTTTTTAAATAAAATTATATACTATACTAACTATGACTAAAAGATTAATAAATTAATGTGTTAAAGTTGGGTGATAGAAAATTCAGAAAATCGATTTATTTCCCACACATCCTTTTAGAAAATTGGGACATTAATTATTTGCTGGTATACTTACATATGAATTTAAACTGCATGCGTATTATACTCAAATAAAGAATTCAAAATAGAGGCGAGAATAATGAAAAGTTTGGTACAACAGGAAGTAAATGAAAGCAAAGGCTATAAGTCAATTATAAAAGTAAGAATACTACCAGAGGAAAATTAAGCTTCTTTGTTATTTCTTCATAATTTGCATTTCTTTCAAAGACCTCAGATTGGCCCGCTGCAAGATGCGCACACACAAAGCACATAGATGTATTATAGAGCATCAAGCGAATCGACACACCTCCCTTATTTCCAGCGGCTCCTCGCAGACCTGTCTTAACTACATCCACAGCTACATCCCTTTTAAATAAAACTTATCTTAAGCTATATAGTAACATATAAACACAATTTTATCAATACACAAATAATTCCAGTTAACAAACGAATTTAATACCACGTGCATTTCACCTTATGCAAAGCAAAATGCAATCTATACATTAATTTTTAGTTGGTAAGTTAGGTGACTGGGATGAACAAAATCAAACACATGGCAAGTCTGACTAAATCATAAAGTGAATACTTATAAACAGCATGAACTCTAAAGATTCTTCACTTTATTTTTTATTGTTGTTGTTTCAGTTCCAAAAAATCACTTATCCCACCTACTATGAATTATGCAACAAAATTCCTAAGTGCATCCTCATTGTGTCTTACCTAGGTATTTATTGCCTCTTATCCACTACAAAAACATTTCCATATTTCCCCCGTAAAAGAGTAATCTGAACTCCTTCATAATAAAAATGCTCATTATTTCAACATGGGAATCATTTGCTGTAATCCCGTATGGAAATCTGCCCCAATGGGAAAAATTTTGCATGGATTAAAGCTTACTAAAGAAAAGCTCATGAACATGCAGAAAAATAAACATTTAGAATTAATCTATATTATATTATATACTTATTCTGATCATTACATAATTATTTTGATTTATCTGTGAGTGTTGTAACATTGTTTTAATGGTGATATATAAATAAGTGTGGCAGCAATTTAACTTATAATTAGCTAATGTGATTTTATATATCTCAACAGCACTTATAAAATAATTACTATTTAAATCCGCTGTTTGATTACTCTAATGACTTATTAAATAAATATTATGAATTTCTTAACTGCAAGCTTTCGAAGCTCTCTAATTTAAATAATGTATCTCTTAATAAAGCATTACGCATGGTTCAGACAAGAGAATTCTGATTGATATGAATGCACTTGTGAAAGAAACTATAATAAAATAAAACAATCCAGCCAGGTTGTACTTGGTTCTGATGTTTCATACAAAGTTCATCTACAGATAGAATATGACCTCTTCATTTTGTTTTGCTCATCTAATGATAGAAAAGCATATTTAGTGCAGTGTTACTTTAACTTTATTATAGCATCCCTTCTCATATCCCTACAGATGTAATTTATGATAACACACATACATATCATTGCTTTGAAAAAACAATCTGGAGAAAAAGAATTCTAAAAGAATGTTGTGTGATAATGAAATAATAATATGTATTTAATCACTAAAAATTAACTAAATATTATAAATACATATATAATTACGTAAAAAAGAAAAAAAGAAACATCCTTTTGTAGCCTGCTGAAAATTGTCTCCTGTCTCACAGTTTGAGAGCCACTGCTTTAAAAGGCTTTGAACCTTAGATGGAAGTGATGTGAATCATTCTATTTTCTGCTCAGAAGGTTAGTTACAAAATTTTGGGTGATGAGTTGGTGAATTTTACGTTTCCTGCCTTATTACTCAATTGGAGGGGAGAATGAAAAATATGCTAGTGAAATTATCTCAAAGCCATTTTAACATTATATTATTAATGCTAATTAATTATACATATACTGATGCCAAAATTATTAATGAAATCACTCTAAATCTGAGGCTCTATAATCCCTACATGGTGCCAAGTATTACCATTGCATGAAACATGCACTTTCTAATCGGTCGTGGACACTTAGCCGATGGGACACTTAACCGACACCAGTTAGCCAACAAGATATTAACCAACAAGGACACTTAACCGACATGGACACTTAACCGACAGGACATTTAGCCGGCACGGACACCTAGCCGACAGGACATTTAGCCGACAAGGACACTTAGCCGACAGGACATTTAGCCGACACGGACAGTTAGCCCGACAGGACATTTAGCCTACACAGACAGTTAGCCGACAGGACACTTAGCCGACAGGACATTTAGCCGACACACAGAATTCGCCGTCAGGGCATTTAGCTACAGGACAGTTAACTGTTAAGACATTTAGTCAACAGGAAACTAAGCCGATAGTGATGTTTAGCTGACGCGTACCCAATAATCATTTAAATTTGCAATCAATTACAAAATTTCTCGACTTCTCCACAAGTTTAATATTTAAGTTATTTTTTTCACTTATCAGTAAAATTCAGTTTTCGATTCTTGAAGATCTCATACGTGCTTTTAATTATTGTGTTAATTTAGCATTGTTTGGTGTATATTGGCCAAATTGAAAAAGCGCTGAAATTTCTCGTCAGGGCATGTGAATTAAATTTAGAAAGAAAAAAAGAATTTTTTTAGCTAAGTACGATGGTCACTTAATTACATTTTAATTTGGGATCTTCAAAAATTAAAAGTAATGCTTCTTCATTTAATCAACTGGGTATTTTTGAACACTTTCACATGATTATCAATTTCCCTTGTTTACTTAATGATAATAGTTTTCCAATCTTGTTCTTCCAAATGCTTTCAAATTTCTAATATCTTTACGTTTCATTAATATTTTACTCATCACATCATGTTACATTCTTTCCCTTACAAAATCGTTTGGCTCCTCCCACTTTAGAAATTTCCTTTGCCTGTCTTATGAAGCGACGCAATCGCAGATGTAGGTATCCAGCCATTGCCTTACCCTGTATATAGCAAGTGAAATTACTGAGCATAAGTTTTTCTGTGCTAGCATTAAGTTCAGGAGATTTGAATGTGAAGCATTCAGATACCATTTTAGCAAAGTAGGAGGGGATGAGCAATTATATTCGTAGGGAGCAATTATAGTTATCTGGAAGATAATGTTTAAGCATAACTTGGTTGTAGGAATATCGTGCGAGAATCCGCAGTGAGGTGGGATCATTCATTTCGTGTCACGAAGCATAGTTATTTGAGAGACATTGTAGGCTAGACTGAACTGGCTGCTGTCCTCAGCGTAGTAGGAGTAGACCATTCTGAAAAATCTTATAATGCAATAAAAATTATTGTTATTCTTGAATTACATTTTATAGATATATATATATGGTGGTGAGGCTTAGTTTAGCAAATATATTTTATTTAGTTATTAGAAACAATTAAAAAAAGTGAATTCCTAAGACAAGCAAAGTTATAAATTATTTGTGACCTCTATAATTTTCAGTTCATGTCACCATTCTTAAGATAAAAATATTGTGGCATTTTATTGACCACGCCTTTTGCTTAAAATACTTACTTAGGTTAATGTTTATTGCCCTAAACTAGTTCATAATGTTTAATTTAGAAGTAAAATATTCTTTAAGATTTTGTTTTTTTCATAACTGAAGCTACAGCAGGGGGGCCACAAAGTAGGGCGGAGCAAAGCGACCCATCGTGAAAAGTCACCGTAATGTATTGCCATCTAACGATGCTAGATTTAACTATATCTAACGCGTAAATAGATAATATTATGTACTCTGTTTTGTAAGTCGCGAATGTGTAATTTTCAATAGAATATGTTATATGTATTAATGTTTTTCTTATCAAATATAAGTTTTCTCAATATCCGTTAAAAAAGTATAAATTTTCATTTCATTTCTCATTAATTTAATTTTTTTTTCATCTTTCATTCCTTCTCTTTCTCGTTTTTGGTTTAGTGGCCACCTAACAGAAATAAGTTTGGTTTATGTAATTATGGCAAAGGCAGAGTGCTATTTGCCTAAGTGGAGGGATGCCTTGGTGGAGGACTTTCTAAGGAAAACTGCCTTGTATACATGTTACACATGGGAAATACCATGAAAATAGCCTGTCTGTTTACAGGATTCAAATTCGGACTGAACTGCCAGTGTTCAGTAAATTTACCCCTCGGCAGCTGCCGAGTCTAACAGAAATAGAGTGACCATTTTACCCAATACATAACCACTCTCTTCCAATGAAAATTGCCTTTTTAGGCTAGAACTTTATTAATACATTCAGGAAAATGGGCACCAAAAATTTTCCCATTACCATGCAGCTAAACCGAAAACGAGAAAGAGAAGGAATGAGAGAGAAAAAAAAATAAATAAAATGAAATGAAGATTTATACATTTTAAACAGATATTGAGAAAAGTTATATTTTATAAGTAAAACATTAATATAAAATATTATGTACTTTCCGTTTTGCCGGCGCAGACGGTAAAGTCGCCAATAATGGTATGACCGATGCCAAACGGAATATACTCGCTGGTAACCTTTTACCGTTCATTTTCAAAACAAGTCGCAGCCATTTCTTATCAGATTGATTGTTTCTTTCAATACTGGCATACGATTAAATAGAATTTTTATCAGATAGTACAATTTTATGCCCTAAGGCCATTTGTGGTAATTAAGTCAATTAGAATGCAACCACACCACTCACCTGAAGGCAAAAATATAGAAAAAGCAAAGTCAAGGGTTAAATTCATCAATTTTAATTGAGAATGCACTAGCAAAGTAAAGCACTGCTGTTCTACATAATTTCTGAATAAGCTGTTCGTACGAATTGAAGTAATTCTTGCATTTAAACTTGTACTCCAAATTAAGAGTTAACTTGAAATTAATGTAGATAATTAGAAAGAATTATATTTTTGTAGCGTACTTTGCGTGAGATGAGATCACTTGGGGTCACGTGATATGAACTACCGAATCAGGATGTTGAACCATGAAAGCATAGTAAATTCTTAAATTAATGTCTTTTTGCAAATTTATTGTCTTTATTTATTGGCTTTTTAGAAAATTTTAAACGATATTAAAAGGTTTACGCATTCAAAATAAAAAAAATTCTTAGAACTAACATTTGCTAAAACTTCTTATGTGTATGTTGTCGCCAATAAAGTCTGCTTTGCGCCGAAAATTACATATCGCGAGTTTCAAAACATAGTACATAATATTATCTATTGACATGACTGATCTAGTTAAATCTAGCATCGATAGATGGCACCACATTACGGTAACTTTTAACGATCTGACACGCTTTGTTCCACCCCACTTGGTTTGTGGCCGCCTTCTTCTGCAGCTTTACTTATGAATAAAACAAAACCTTAAAGAATATTTCACATTTAAATTCAACATTAAGCACTAGTTTAGGGCTATAAACATTAACCTAAGTAAGTATTTTAAGCGAGAAGCGCGGTCAATAAAATGTTAGAGAATTTTTATCTCAAGGATGGTGGCATGAACTGCAAATTATAGAGGTCACAAATAATTTATACCTTTGCTGGTCTTAAAAATTCACTTTTCTAAATTATTTTTAATAACAAAATAAAATATATTTGCTAAGCTAACCCTCACCGCCATATGTTTCTTATAAAAAGTATAATTCAAGAATAACAATAATTTTTATTGCATTTTTCAGATTTTTCATGACAGGGAAAGGAAATTTAATTAGTGGGAGGAGCCAAACGATTTTTTTAAGGGAAGGAATGTAATACGATGTGATGAGCAAAATAGTAATGTAACATAAAGATATTAGAAATTTGAAAGCATTTGGAAGAGCAAGATTGGAAAATTAATATCATTAAGTAAACAAGAAAAAATATTAATGATGTGAAAGTTGATTAAATGAAGAAGCTTTACGGATAATTTTTAAAGATCCTATATTAAAATAAAATTAAGTGACCGCCGTACTTAGCTAAAAAAATTCTTTTTCCTTTCGAAATTTAATTCATATTTCTTGAGGATAAATTTCAGCGCTTTTTCACTTTAGCCAATATACACCAAACAGCACGATACATATCAAACAATCTAAATTAACACAATAATTAAGCACGTATGAGATCTTCAAGAATCGAAAATTGAATTTTACTAATAAGTGAAAAAATAACTTAAATATTGAACTTGTGGAGAAGTCGAGAAATTTTGTAATTGATTGTAAATTTAAATGATTATTGGGTACGCATCAGCTAAACGTCACTATCAGCTTAGTGTCCTGTTGACTAAATGTCTTAACAGTTAACTGTTCTGTAGCTAAATGTCGTGTCGGCTAAATGTCCTGTCAGCTAACTGTCTGTTTCAGCTAAATGTCCTGTCGCCTAACTGTCCGTGTCGGCTAAATGTCCTGTCGGCTAAGTGTCCGTGTTGGCTAACTGGTGTCGGTTAAGTGTCCCGTCGGCTAAGTGTCCCGTCGGCTAAGTGTCACGAACCCCCTTCTAATTCATCTTCCATGCAGCCTGGCAGATAGCCGGTTATCAGGAAGTGTTGCATTCTAGATGACATATCTTTAACTTACATTGAAGTTATAACCGAACTGTCTTTCAAAGAGGTAATTAAAAGTAATAAATGTCCTTTTAATAACCTTCTGTGATGCTCCAGACTGGAAACAATAAAACTGAAGGCAATTGGCAACTTTCTATTTGCAGGTCACTGTGGCTCAAGTTTATTTTACTCATACCCATAACTGGTATAACTTAAAATACAACTTAATCATAATCTATCCCACTGACAACTTTATCCACCTGGCACAGAGATTTGCATTTTATACTTTTATTTCAGTTCTGTAAATGATGAATAATTTTGAACATAAATAAACTACAACTTTTCTTCTATAAATCTGACACAGAAATATATTGCACATTAAACTAGAAATGAGACTCTGATTTCCTGAAAAAAACAAATTTCTCTCATTCACGTAATTTATACAAACAGAAAAAATTTAACTAACTAATGAGAAGCAAGTTGAGGAATAAATTGTTTCATTACTTTTCTATTATTCACCATCATAATATTTTATATAGACCTACATTTTTCTTTCTTTAAATATCCTTTGACCCTATTTTTAGATTACTTTCTTCTTCATTAGAATTTATAAAGATAATTAGAACAACTTCCAAATATATATGTGATTTTAGTTCTGCATAATAATATCAAACTATGTATTAAAAAAAAAAAGGAGAAATGCACATAAAAAGGAGAAATGTACATCATAAAGAAAAGGATAAATATCAATAACTAAACTAGAGGAATTCGCAAACACAGAAAAATCCCACAAAATAATTTAATCTAAAAATACATAAAATTCACAGAATACTTTAAAGCACAATAATAATAATAATAAATGGCGGGCCTTTATTTCAGTAGGTTTGAATATTTGCAATGGTTGTGGTTTTAGATTTTTAATTATCAAGCATAAAATTTTATTAAGATAAGGTGGCCCTCAGATTACTGCACTCTTAATAATTCTTTTTTTTACCCCTTTCTTTCTTAGTCTTTTAGAGAGTCAGACAAGTATATACATACAACTAATAATAAAACTTCATATTTTAACTCAGTTATGAAATTTGCATAAAACGGTTTTACTTATTCATTCAACACTAAAATTAGTTTAACTGCCATTATGAAAGCCAAAAAGTAATTAAAAGGAAAAGTTTGCACAAGAGGGAAAACTACGTCAATATTTTTTTCAGTCACTTCCAAAAACTGAGATAACTTACTTTATAAATGGAGCATGCTTAGGCAATGCAAAAAGGAAAAGGCAGACACCAACTAATTGTGTGGATGTAATATATATGTATTTATTATCACGGGAAATAGTTTTTTGAAGTTCAACCATCCACTCTTTCTGGCTTTGAGAACTGCAAAGTAAATAAAAATTAATCATAGTTCATCACCTCTCTAAAATTTATTTAAAGTGTATTTTGTTATGAAACCCAATTACTTTTATATCAGTAACATACACATGCTATGCAAACTTTAAAAAATAATTCTATAATAGAACCTAAAAATACAGAATTACTAAAAACAACATAAAGAAAATTTAACCTCTTCACAAGCAGATGATTAGTATTTTGGTCACTGTCGTGCCACAATCAAACTCTAAGAGAGGTAAGTTCCTCTGTTACGGAATGGCAACGACAGAGATTGTTGTTCAAAAAGATTGATGATCAAACTGCGTTGTAATGATCATTTTGTGGATGTTGCATATTGTAAAATGAACCTATTACACTGTACTAAACAGTATTAAAATGCTATATATTATAAGATCTTTTTCATCTGATCTAAATTTTAACAAAATGCTCACTATTTTCTCTTAAACTCACAATGATGTTCACGACATTTCTGGTGCCCCCAGGTGGGCGCGTTTGTTGAAAACATGTCAGATGAAAGAATAGATAGGGTAAGTTGATTACCTTATACTTCCATTTTGAAGTTATTGATTATTGTTTTACTGAAGTTTAAAATACTATTCTTGCCTAATTTTTATCTGAATATTTTAAACTTAAGACAAAATGGAGGTGATGAAAAGAAACAAAACTGCACAACGTTCAGCTTTTACTAAAGCATATAAAAGACTAGATGAACTTTTAAATGATGATAATGTTGATTATGAAGAAGCAGAAATGTGTTTTTATTTGTTCAAGAAAAAGGCAGAAACTTTAGAATTGTCGCACAGTGCTTATTTAGATACTATAACTAATGATACAGAATTCGAAACAGAATTTGAAATAACAGAGGACTATCGAGAAAAGGCTGTTAGGATACAGTTAAAATGGGAACGATTTCTCGATAATATTAAGAGAAAATTAAACGAAATCCAAAATACAGCGTTAGAGAGTAGTCAGGAATTAGTTACTGATGAAAATACATGTAAAACTTTGTGCCAACGCCTACAGAAAGTAGAACTTTATAAGTTTGCAGGTAATTTAAAAAATTGGCTTATGTTCTGGAATCAGTTTAAAAACCTACGTGAAAATAATAACTTAACGAATGCAGACAAATTCCATTATTTGATACAGTCAACAAAAATGAAATCAGAAGCTAGAGATATTGTAGAATCTTTTCCTGTGACGAACAAAAATTATCCTTTGGCTATAGAAAGCCTTACTGAGAGATATGGCCGTAAAGAACTTTTAATTGATTTTTATGTTTGAGAGTTAATAAAACTTGTTTTGGATAACGCAGCGAAAAAGAAGCAGGATTCTTTGAGTTGTTTGTATAACAAACTTTCAACACAACTTAGAGCCCTGAGCAGTCTTGGTGTGACAACTGATCAGCGTGGAACAATTTTATACCCTCTTGTAGGAAGTGCTATTCCTATTCATGTATTGCAACCATTTGAAAGACAACGAAAAATTACTGAATCTGAACGAAACATTTCGAGTCTTGATGCAATAATTGAATTTCTGAAAAGTGAATTCAGTCAGAGGAAAAAATAATATTAAGCAGAGCGGATATTTTTTCTGTGTCTGATCGTAAGCACTTGGCAACTAGCCAAAATATTCCTCCCGCGTCGGATTTGATGAATCATGAAGCAATACCTTCTTGTTTGTTTTGTTTAAAAGATCATGAAATGTGTAACTGTAAAAAGGCATGTTATGTTCTGTTAGATGAAAAAATGTCTGTGGTAAAAAAGAAAGGTTTATGCAGAATATGCTTGGTTAAAGGTCACCTCAGTAACCAGTGTCGATCAAATGTTAAGTGTCAGATCTGTTCAAAAAGACATTTGAATTTTTTTTGTCCTAGTCTTGAATGTAATAAGTCTAGTGAAATGCATAACCAGGAAAATGGTGAGAAAAAAGAGAAAACAATCGATTCTTTGCATTCGCGTGCTACAAATGAAGTTTTCCTTCAGACCCTGGTTGTAAACATAGAGGGTAAGAATAAAAGGCGTAAAGTTAGATTAATGATTGATACGGGAAGCTCAAGAAGTTATGTTTTAAAGTCTACCGGAGAAGACATGGGTTTTAACTTGCAATGGGAGGAAGAATTTATTTGGTGGAACAGAAACTGAAATTTATAAACATAAATGTTATAAGATTTATTTGAGTAGCCTTGATGGTAATTATTCGTGTAAATTAGATGCTGTAGACCATGATGTGATTTGTAATGATATTTCAAGCATAAGATACGGTTCTTGGATTCGCGAATTAGGAAATAAAGGAATACGCTTAACTGATACCCAAGGGAATTTCCGGCCCTATTGAAGTACCGTTAGGGGTAGACGTTTCAGGGAAGTTATTTACTGGCAAGCGAGAAGAACTAAGAACAGGTTTAGTGGCTATAGAAACAAAATTGGGTTGGACTTTGATGGGTAAAGTACCTCAATCCGAACATCAGCACAATGTAAATATGACTATAGTTTCTATGTTATCTCAAGAAGACCTGCCTATTTCATCATTGTGGGAGTTAGAATTATTGGGTATCCGAGATCCTGTTGAACAAAAAACTAAAGAAGAGTCGAGAAAAGCTATTATGGTTCATTTCCAAGAAACAGTTCGTCAATTAGAAAATGGTAGATACGAAGTTGATATGCCTTGGAAAATTGAGCATGCAGTCTTACCAGACAATTATGACCTATCTTTGAAAAGACTCGAATCTACTACGAAGAAGTTGGAAAAAATAGCATATCGTGAAAAGTATCATGAAGTGTTTAATGAATGGCTGCAGGAAGGAGTTATTGAAGAAGTTCCCCAAAAGGAGTTGTCTTTACCCGTTGTTCATTACCTCCCACATTGTCCAGCCATTAAGGAAACGTCCTCAGTATCTTCCATGAAAATTAGACCTGTTTTTGATGCTCCGGCAAAGCTTACTAATCAGCCATCTCTAAATGACTGTTTAGAGACTGGAATTAATTTGATTGAAACGATTCCCTCTATTCTAGTAAGATTTCGCTTACATCAAATTGGTGTGATTTCAGACATCAGAAGAGCTTTTTACAGATCTCTCTAAATGGAAGAGATCGAGATTTTTTACGATATCTTTGGTATGGTGATGATGGTAGAGTGAAGACATTTCGTCACACCCGTGTGGTATTTGGCATTACTTGTAGTCCATTTTTGCTGATGGCGGTTATTGACCATCATTTATCCAAAGAATCGTGGAAAGAAAAATATTCTGAAGAGTTTCTTAAAAAATTACAAGATAGTTTTTATGTCGATAATTGCGTAACTAGTGTACAAAATAATGCCGAACTAGAAATATTCATCGAATCTGCAACTAATGTAATGAAAGAAGGAATGTTTGATCTCAGAGGATGGGAAAGTTCTGGCATTCCTGCATTTTCAGAAAGTGCAACATCACCTGTATTAGGACTGATTTGGGACAAACATTTAGATACCTTAGAAATAGACACCGAATTTTTGAAATTTGATGAAAGAGAAAAGGTAACTAAAAGGAAAATACTTTCACTAGTTAGTCGAGTATTTGATCCCATAGGTTTCCTTGCACCTGTTATGATTCAGCCTAAGATTTTGCTGCAGGCCGCTTGGAAGAGCAAAGAATCATGGGATGATGAAGTGAATGATGAAATAAAGGAGAAATTTTTAAAATGGGGAAAACAACTGAAATACTTCAAAAATATAAAAATTCCAAGATGGTTAGGTGTAATGAAGGAATCCAATTTAAGTATCCATACTTTTGTCGATGCCAGTAAGACAGCTTATGCGGCATGCATTTTCTTAAGAAGTGAATCCAGTATGGGTTCTCTGACTGTTCAATTACTTCAAGCCAAATCACAAATAACTCCAACGAAGACTATTACTATACCATGTCTAATTAATGGCCGCTACCATAGGTGCTAGGCTGTTTAGTTCTGTGAAGCAAGCTGTGAAACTTCCCAACATCAAGACTTTCTTTTGGACAGATTCTTTCACAGTTCTTGTGTGGATAACTCGTCGAGAACAGTGGTCGGTATTCGTTATTAACAGAATAAGTGAAATTAGAAAATTGACAACTTCGGAAGATTGGTTCCATATTTCAACTGACCAGAATCCAGCAGACATTTTATCAAGAGGTTGTGGACCTAGGCAACTTCAGAAACGCAAGTGGTGGCAAGGGCCAGCATGGTTGAAGAATTCGAAGGAGCAGTGGCCAAAGTCAGCTGTAAATATTAACGAGAAAGAAGTAGAGATGGAGAAACGAAAGTCAGTCATCTCTGCTAGTAACACAGAGCTAGAGTCAATTTCATTGCAGTTAGCCAGAAGATTCTCTAGATTTTCAAAGATGATTAGGGTTATGGCTTGGATACTGCATTTTCAACCAAAGGCCAAGGACTTGAGAAAATGTAAGGAACTTAAAAATGAAGAACTGTTAAATGCACAAAGGTTTATTTTCCATGTAATACAAAAGGAATGTTACTCTAATGAAGAAACACGAAAAAATTTGAAAGGTCTTCTAATATTTGAAGATGAAGAAGGAATTTTACGATTGAAGTCCAGATTGATAAATGAGGAAGAATCGAAAGATTTTATTTCTCCAATAATTCTACCATCGAAACACCTTGCAGTGAAAAGGTTTATAGCCCAAGAACATATTGCTAACAAGCATGCTGGGACATTAACTCTACTGACTATTTTACGGGAAAGCTATTGGATAGTGAAAGGGAAAAAGAAACTGTCCGGAGTGTTGTCAAAGAATGCTTAACATGTAAAAGGCAAAAGGTAAAACATCTTGAGGTACCTTTTCCGCCTCTTCCAAAAGACCGAACAGAAGTAGCAGCAGTTTTTCAAGTATCAGGTGTAGATATAGCTGGACCTCTGTTGACTAAATCTAAACAAAAGGTGTGGATAGTACTTTTTACTTGCGCCGTATTTAGAGCTGTCCATCTTGAGCTAATACCTTCACTTAGTACCAA